ATGTACATACATATATATATGTATATTCTGAATTTATTTTGTTTTAAATAAAAAATAAAGAATATTTTCACAAATTAAGAAATAACAATATGTTTGTTCTCTTTTGCATAATTTCTTTAAAGATGAAAATTTATTAATTTTCACATGTTATGTACATACAATTTTTTTTGGTATTTTTAACAAAGATCTATTCGGGCAAGCTGAATTCTTGAATTTCAGCAGCTACAGACATATAAAATTATAAGACAAAAAGAGATATAAGTATCTATATTTTTTATTTTTATCTAAAACAAACAGGTATGCCAAACACGCGGCCGGCCGCTTTTGATCCTATACGGCTCGTTACGATTTTTTAAAATTGTGAAATTTAATTCTTATAATTTTATAACAAATATTGATTTAGATCAGTAAGAAAGTGTCTATAAAACGGAGTGAAGGTTTTTCAGGGATTTATCACACATTGAAAAACCAAACTTATGCATGAAAAATTGTGAGAAAAATATATAAAAATAAATAAATCGAGATGCTGTGCGATTCTGTGCAAAATTTTAGAGAAGTGGAAATTACTAAATTTTTATAATTATTTATCTATAAATCAATTAAGCGTGTTTTAGTCATGTTCTGAAGCACATATTTGTGATGATAAATGAGTTTGACATGCTTGATCTGAACTTAGGCATCAATCGATATATGAATACATAAGTAAAACATAGCGCTCTATTGAAGTAATTCTATTATCATCATGTAATATTGCATAAATTTAGGAGAATTTATTCTAGTGAAATAAAAAATGTATCGATATTACATTTAGATAAATTGGTGAAAAACCTTTATTAAATTTTCAATCTATGCTTTTTGCTTAATTGTGAGGTTTAATTCCACAATCTGGATTTTTTCATATCCAAAATTTTATCAAATACAAAAATTTTGTTTTAGAAAAATTATAAAAAAATGTTTTAACTGTGATCTATTTATCTACAAAATTTTAGCTGTCCGCTTTGAATAGTGTCGGAGTTTAGTCAAATCGTACAGACTGTCAAATGGACAGAGCGCCAATTCATTCAAAATATTTCGAAATAATGAAAATGTGCTGATTGAAGAAGATTATTTAAATATTAATCTCAAATTACAAGAGATGTCAATGAATTGTTATAAAATTTTTTAAGCAGCATTATTTGTTATTGTTTTGCTTTTTAATATTTTGACTAAAAATACAGAAATATTATGTAAGTCAAATGTCATATTAAAATATTGTGATAAATTCATATTTCAGGGTCAATGTTATGAAATTATAATATTGACCAAAGTCTATTAAACGTTTATTTATTTTTTTTGTTTTTATTCAATTAACGTTATAGCAGTCTTTTGTCCTTTGCCAATTTCAAATTTATAGTTTTTATGTAAAATTGCTGACAACAATAATTATTGGCATTAACATTTTCATCTATAAATTCAAATTTTTTAACAATTAACATTTTATGAAAATATATTGAAAATTTTTTTATTTTGTTTTTTTTTTTGCTATGATAAATATACACAATTTGTATGTAGTAAATTTTTACTTAAATCTTTTCTACACATTAAAGCAAGGTAATAAAGCAATAATTTTCATTTTAAATTTGAGCTTAGTTATACAACTTTTGCAAGTATGTGTAAAACTGTTTGTTACAATGTCCATTATAATTTTCAAATAATAATTTTGTTGTAAAATTATTATTCTCAGAAAAGAGAATTATATTTGATGCAGGCGCGTAGGAAGAGCACGAAGTATACAGGATGTTTCGCATAAGGTGGCAAATAATTTCAGATATGATTCTTTGATCAATTTCCAAAAAATTGCTAAGGGGGGCGAGGGGTGCAGATATACTTGTTATCGAGCTACAACCTGTTGAAAATAAAGGTACCGGACGTTTCCTGCATATAAATAAATGCTTATATCTTCGAAACCATACAACATAGAGCTAGCATTGTGAGCTTGTTTTACAGACGATTGATCGTTCTTTATTTTTGGTCTTGCAATTAATTTGATTTGAGTCATAGTCTTCGAGATACAGCTCGTCAAATTAAAAATTTTTGTTTTTTTAAATTTTTAAAGATCTCAAAATTTCTCGAAAATTTTTATTATTATTATATTTTTTTAATGTGAAATTTAACCCATGTAACATTTTTCTCTATCTCCCATAGCTTTGCTAGTAAAACGTGTTAAATATGTTCACAAAACACGCGGAAAATGCATATCTCCTACATTAAAATTTTTCATCATTATTTCGGAAAAATATCAACATTTTCAATATTCTTTAATTATAAAATTTATAAAATTTTAAAATGCTTACTAAATTTTGTTGAGAATTATTACCTTAAATCTGTCCGTTACTTAATCTCAGCTAACCATTTTACTGTTTAGTTTTTTTTTCAATATTTTAGTTGCTAAATCGACTTTCTTAAATTATTAATCAAATATTTAAATGAGTACATGCAATATTATTATTTATTTAATTTTATGCAAATGCACAAGTATAAATATTATTTTTATCTTATAATTTTTAACTTGATAAAAATCAAGTTCGACTTATGTGTGACGTATAGGGAACGATTTTACTGTATTTAATTGTAATAATAAGGAACTTACAAACGAGCTTCTGAAATAAAGTGAACGTATGTATGTATGAATGTAATATGTATATATATATATATATATATATATATATATATATATATATGTACCTTTTTGTTTGTTTTGTGTAATAAAAAAATATGCTACGTAAGATTATTCCGATCGTTGTTTAAAGAACAAAGATAATATTTTTAATCATACGTAAATATACGAAACGAGTATTATGCATGGAGTAAATATATAAGAAAGGAAATAGTAGATTGATTATTATTCCAGTATTGTTTTTTAACAAAAGATTCTAAAAAAAAATGATATTGAAGATATTTTTGTATATATTTTTATGTAAATAAAATTATGTTTATATTAAAAACCATATATATGTGCGTACATATATGATTATCATAATATATTTGCATGTAACGGAACTAGTTAATGTAAGAACTTGTATATTTTGCTGTATAATCATTTAGAACTTTATCGCAAATATGTAGTTATATCTAAAAATTTTGATCTATGTATACTGGATTTTTATCGACTTTATGAATAATAAATATCGTTGTAACGACTCTATATCATTTTACAAAGAAAACCTGAAAAGGAACAATTGCATAATACAAAAAATGAAAAAGAAATAAAAATTTAATGGAAAATTTACATAAATTTTTTAAAATATTTGATTAATTTCATATAAAAGGCGATTATAATTTTTCGGGCTGCTTATTTTTTGTTTTTTCTTCAAAATTTAAATTTGAACAGATTAAGAATAACACTATAGAGGTGTTGAATGTCCAGAATTATTCTTTAATAATTTTTCACATTTAATTCAATCTTATCAAGAATTTAAAAAAAAATTGTATAGGTATATTACTGCCTTTTCCAAGCATTCATCTTAAATTAGTGATGTTTTCCTAAGGAAAAGAAAGCAATATTTTATTATACGTGTATTATTGTAATAATTTTATTTGTTCTAAAAAGAAAATTATAAGTATTCACGTATTTAATGTTACCGTTAGAAAATCTTTTAAAATTTATTAAAACTTACACAGTCATATCGATTGTTTTATATATACATATACATACATATTGGATATCATGGAGTTAACAAATATAACAAATAAATTCAAAATAAAATAATTTTGATAACAAACAAAATTTTGTGTGAAATTATAAATTTTTCAAAAATTTGAATTTCAATTAAAACACACAATAGAATTGGAAACCACATTTGTGGTGTGTATGCAAAATTCTATACTAAAAATTAAGATATGAAGCTTAACTAGCATATGTACGTACACTACGTATAATAACAATTTATCACAACTTGCTATAATAACATTTTGTACTATGTAATATAAAATAACTAATCTGAGAATTATAAATTAATGAAATAAAAATTTGAAAAAAATCGAAAATAGACAACAAAGTTTTAAAAAGACATTTTCCAGTCGACGTGTGTACATACATTTTTTTTTACTTAATTTATTTTTACTAAATACAAATGAAATAAAATTAATTCAAGTCATGTTTAAAACAACATCATATTTTATTAAACGTATATTAAAATGTGTGTATGTTTTTTTCCGATTTACTAACATACATACATATGTTAGGTACATACATATATTATTGAATTTATCCATAAAATTAAATTTTGGAAAATATTTTTTACTTCCACCTATCAAAATTACTCCGTTTTAAATCTACCTAGTGAGTTATTATGGATATTCATAATATATTTATATATAGTATGTACGTACATACTTATATATTTATATATTTACATATTTATATAAAAAATTTTACCAAAGTAAGGAATAAGTATGAAGTTGAATGATGCTAGATTTTTTTTTTTATTGACCATAGAGCCGCTAATTTGCAACTTTTATTATTAATTTTTGCCTTTTTTTTTAATTTCGCTTACTTTTAATAAATTTTAAGCACAAAAAGTTTAATATATAAATATATTTATGTATATGCATATTAAATGTGTATATATATGTATATGTAATAAAAGATTAGCTGAAAAAGCTGTTTTTTGTTTTGTATTATTTTGTTTTTGATTCATTCTTCTGCATGCTACTTTTCTTTTTATTAAAAAAAAATTTATTTTCAGATCAGGTACCTTTAATACACTAATATAGCCTATACACAACATAAAGAATTGTTATATAAAATAATAAACTAAATATATCTATAATATTATTATATACATACATATATTTATTGTATATATCATATATATACTATTTTTACTATATTATATACTATAATCAACACATACATTTATATGAATTGAATATGGTATAAAAAGAATACAAAATAATATTAAATTGGAAGAATACCGAATATATATAAAATAAGCTGGTAAGCTTTATAATTTAGTCATTGCAATTGATTTGATCATATCGGAGAGACTAAAATTATTACAAGTTATAACGGAATTGATAAAATCGTGTTAGTTTTTTAGTGCTCCAAATTAAATTTAATTTTAATTCACAATAATATTTATTTTGTTTAATTAACGAATTAATTTTCTCACTTTCACTTTATCGTATTTCAATTATTAATAATTATTGCAAAAGGTAATGATTAAGATTGAAAATTGTTAATAAATTTTTTAAGATTTGTAATTTTTTTTTAAATAAATTAAAAAAGAATGTGAAAATTGTCGGTAAAATTTAGAATTGAATTAGGTGTAATGGTTTTTCTTCAATTTATGTAAACTATATGAATGATAAATTTATAGAATATAAATTATATTGGTATATAATAAAAGAACATTCATTTATAATTTTCCTGCGAAATATTCGTATTTAGATTGGTGAAATTTAAATTGTTTAATAATATGAATATTGTGCGTGTAATCAAGCAGTACAACTATATGTTGTCAGAAATAAATTTATACTTATAATAGTAGTATAATAATGTAGTAGAATTTCACTTCGCAATATTCATTCAATAGAAACACAAAAGATTGTTGTTTTAAAACATTTGAAATTATTGAAAAATTGCGAGTAAAATAAACGTTTTCAATACGGAATTTACCCGTGTTGTTAATTGGACTAATTGGTTTTTGATTTTTCTTAATTTTTTATTGTTCTTTAGATTAAAGGTATTTTTTAATTCATGTAAAAATATATCGTAATTATTTAAAAATGCTATAGGATTTAGAATTTTTATTAAAATTAAGTAGATCTATTCAAATATTTTGCAGATGAAATTCTGTAAATAAACTATTTTAAATAATATTTTGTTTAAATATCACAGTGTTCAAATAAATTTATTATTCAGTAACCTATAATATTGAATGGTAAATTTTAGCTTGCAAAAAATCAAATTTCCTTGAGTGGCAAAACAAAAAAGATTTTGTATTAGCTTATTCATTGAACTATAGGTCAAATATTCTGTATTATATAAATTGACCAATCAATTATATCATAATACATGTAGATTTAAGTACACATATGTATGTACATTTCGTAAATATTTTTAAAAACAAACTTAATATTTTTTGCTCTGTATATCTTTAATTTTAATTTGATATTTTTCCTATGATAATATAGTTACCGGTTTTCTGTTGTATAGATAAACAAATTCATATATTGCACTAATATTAACCTTACGTACGTGAATACATACATATTTACATAATATGTATTTACTAAGAAGCTATATAATCTTAAATATACTTACTTATTTATTTATTCATTTATTTATTATTTTAAGCAATTAAATTAGAATTAAAACTAGTTTATTAAGAACAGGTTTTGATATAAAAAAAAATTTTTTTTAAATGACAATTATAATTATAAAGAGCTTATTTAATTGTGATTCAAAAGAAAATATAAATAATATTTTGGTACAATTTATATAAAATCGATAAATGGGTATTATAATTTTTATACGCATATTATATATAGCAAGTATACATGTTATTTGTTTGTATAATATTATAATGTATTTTCCAGTAATATACATAAGAATATATAATATTAGTTTCAAATATTTCCAGTAAACTGCAAAATTTAAAGAAATGACAACACAATTTTTATTACTAATGTAAGAATAATATCAATTAAAATTTTCGACGTGAAAGTAATTATTAATGAATGATTTTAAAAATTCATTCATCTTCGCTGTGTGAGTGTAATATGTAAATACAATTGTAAATGATGCCAATAAATTTAATTGCTAAATTAATATAAAATTCATAAGATCCAATTTCAAGAAAATATATTGATTTAATATTGTCAAATTAATTACATGTTTACATCGGGTAATAAAAAATTTAATAATATTTTAACCCTTTCATTAATTTTTTTGAAATGTTTGTAGTCAAAAATATAATTCACTTATTAATTGCCAAATTTTTCATATTAAAATCATATATGTAGTTTAAAAAAATACAATTTCATGTATTAAAATTAACACTTGTTGTAAGTCAAAGTAAATAAAATATTTTTAATAATATATTAAAAAAGATGTTTACAATTACAAAACTGAAAGGGTTAAAATTTTGTCCCAATATGCAAATAATAATGTAAAATAGGAGTATATACCTCGTATATCTAAAACAATATTAGTTTCCTTATTACAATTTCAAATTTATTTGAATTTCCTTAAGTAATATGCTTTCAGAATTTTAATAAATATTAATTAATTACTTAATTCTTTTTTTATTTTGATATTACATACATGCTAGTGTAATTTAATTAGATCTGCTTTTTTATTAAATAATTTATAGCTAACACAGGAATTTAAATTTATTATAAAGTTTTTAAATATCTACAATAACAAGTAGATTTTATACAACTTAATGGTGTATTAAATTGATATATTATTAAATTAATATAACATTAACACACATATAATTAATATAAAAATATTTATTTAAAATTGAATATTTATTGTAAATGGTTATTATAGTTATAATTATTATAGTGTGAATCTACTAATATGCAAATTGAAAATTCATATACAATCTCTTTAAAATTCCACAAACTAATTTCAAGTAAATTTTCACAATATTATCTGAGACAATTGTACTAAAAAAAAAATAAGTACAATTGGCGAATATGACAACATTTTTTTTTTAATAAAGGTGTGTTATTTATTTTGTTTTTTGTTAAATAATTAAATAAATCAATATACATTGTTAATAAAATATTGTAATAAATGTATGTCCAATAAGAAAATAAATATTTAATTTTAATAATTTAACTTTGCAATATTTACTCTGAAAAACATACAATTTTTATTTATATTTTAAGTTTTAAGTCATGTTTTAATACAAAAATTATTTACCCTATAAAAGTATAATTACCTTGTATCTAATACATAGCTGAAAATCAAACTTTCATTCCTTAAATAAGGAATTTGTTGGATGCAATTATGTACTACATATGAATAAAAATTGATTTACTTATTATTGTTATAAATTAAATTTTTGAATTTGATTTTCATTCGGTTCACATTATTAAAATCTAAATTTAGGTTTAAAACAGAATACAATATAAGTAATATATTTTTTAATCTTTTCTTGAATGAAAAATATGAACTTAATTTTATGTAAACTTTACATAAGAACTGCAAATTTAATTAACTTGCAACTTGATAAGTCAAAATCAACCATCTGATAAGCAGTTATTATTAAATTTGAAAATGACGATATATTTTGTAAATAAAATCGAGTTTTACAAATTCTTCTTTTCTACGAAAATAAGTATATTGTATTTCAAATAATAAGATTTAAATTAATTCTATTCAATCTTAGTCTACATAAAAATAATTAAAATTATTGTTACACTTGTAATTTTGCGGTCTATCGCTACTTGATTCATATTTCCGTTGTATATGTAAAATTATTATTACTATAGAACTAGAATTCTTTATATTTTCAAAATTTATAAAATTTCATAACATTATTATTAATATTAGTTTTTAGATTTCCTTAAATGATATACATATGTACATATATAAATTTCTTATTTATTAAACTAAGATTCATTTAATTGAAAAAGAGATAATTGACAAAGAAATGACAGCAGCTGTAACTCAGTTTAAGCCATACTAATATTAAATCATAAAAAAATATTCATAAGTCAAAGATTGCCGCGTATGTACACAATATTTTAATACATATTTTGTTTGTTTACCCAACAAATTTATTAATAATTTTCTTAAGATTTATTTATAAATTCCATGATTTTTTTTATATGGTGCAAACACAATTAAACAAATTGTGTAATTATATTAAATATATGTATGTATGTAACAAACTTGAAAAGCTTGAAAACTTTTGAATATACTTATTCATTATTACTTTTTTTATAATTTTTCTTAAATGTTGTTGCATAAATTGTTTTATATTAAAAAATGAAGTTGAAACTTAAATGTCGTAGCTTCTTTTAGTAGGGTACATTAAACAATATTTTTGTTATCGAGTTCAAGTTCAAGGACAAGTGAATTAAGGTTTATTTTTAACTTTCTATTTGATACTTCAAGCAGCTACTTTAAACTTTATGAGCTTTTCATTTTTATTTTATTATTATAAGTCACTATACTCAAAAGAAGTTGTTATTTTATTGGTATTTCCAACTAAAATTCCTAAGCATACAATGTCAAATAATTAGAAATTTAAAATTAATAAAATATTTGTATATGTAATTTAAATTTTCAATCATTTCTTGTCCTTAAAAAGTTCTTACAAATATCAAAAATCAAGGCACACCAATAAATTTTAGATTCTACATTAAAACACATTATTTATTTCATATTTATTCTTCTTTTCAGATTTCAGAATGAATTACTACACATTAACAATTTTGTTAGGATTAATTGCTATTGTTAATTGTACTGTTGTTGATAAATGTCCTAACAGTAAGTTAATATGAACTAAAAATGAATTTTTTTTTTAATTTATTAAATTTTAAACAAACTTTTATTTATTTTAGGTAATGCTCCTAAATTAGATCCAGCTGATGTACAAATATCTAGTTGTCCAGATAAAAAATGTATACTTAGAAGAAAGACAAGAGCCGAAATTACAATGAAATTTACTCCAGATGATGATTATGAGACTTTAACTCAAGATATTCAGGGTAAAATTCTTGATGTACCATTACCGTTTCCAGGAGTTTATGGTACACCAGCTTGTCCATATATTTTTGCTGAAGATGGTACAACTAAAGTTGGATGTCCGGTAAAAAAAGGCACAACATATGTATATAAAAATGGTTTCGATATTTTACCAATTTACCCAACTGTTAGTGTAGTTGTCCATTGGGGTTTAAGTGCTGGTAAAAAAGACGCCGCTTGTTTTGAAATTAGTGCTAGAATTAAGTAAAATAAAATTAAAATTTATGAAATATCTTGTTAAAAATTTTTATATACTTGTCTGAAGACGTAAAGTTTATGTATATATATTTATGTACATATAAGGTCTTGGATGTTTGGATGCTTTTTTTTTTACTTTTGAAACTAAATTCCATTTTTAATTTTTTTTTAAATTAAATAAGAAAGAAAAATAACATAAATGTGATAATTTCGTAAAATTTTTAATTTTTACTATAATATTATATAAAATTAATGTATATATTACATATGTACATATACATAATTTTGTTACATACTTGTATTACTTTCATGGTATTTGTATACATATAGCATAAAAGTTGTAAAAGTAATTTTAGAACAGCATTTAAAAATGAATAAGTTGTATAAATAAAAAAAATTGTTAAATTTAGCTTTTTTTCAGTTTTATTTTCGACATTAAATATATTAAAGATAAGTGTTTGAAAATACGTCGATATATATTTTGTAACAATATATGTATCTAAGAAATCCTATAAATGTATTTTTAATCAAAACATTTTTGACTTGTTTATCGCAAATATCTTTTGAGCCATTTAGGCTATCAAATTTGATCAAGTCAAATAAACTTTAGCGCAAATTCATTGAACTCAAAAGCAATCATCATGCGCCATAAGTATTTAAACAATTCTTAAAATATAAAAAGGAACCTAAAAAATCTTACATATCAGAGACAATATTACTCGTATGTAATCAAATTGCAGTTAATATAGCATTTCAAAAATTGCAGAATGTTGAACCAGAATTACTATTGTATATTAAACCTATCGTTGATCCTGAAAATTTAAATAATTTTAATAGTGTAATTTTTATTTTGCACGTTCTTCTAGAACAAAACTTTCTAATTGCATTGTAGGCTACAACAGTACAATGAATCGATGTAAGGGGCCAGTCATTTTATACAAAAGTCAAAGAGCTCTCATTTTATTAATTTCAGAAGCCAATTTCTCTATGGGCTTAACTTCCTTTTTAATTCGATTTTCTCATATTTTGTTATAGGAGCATTCATTATTGTAGTACAGGATTGCAATCTTTCTTTAAATGAAGCGCTACAATCTTGTTGTTTTTCAACTTTTTTTAAATTTTGATTGCCTATACAAAATTAATTATTAAGTAATGATTCTGAAATCGAAATATTTTTTTATACATACATATGTATGTACGTACCTATAAAAATATGTAAATTCTTCTTCCTAACGAAATCGATGCACAAGATGCTAATACTAATGCAAAAATCTACTTAAAAACTAGTCTTACTTGAAATGGTTAAAGTCTTGTTTTATCTTTCACATACATGGAATTCACCAAAATGCAGTATCCAAAATATCCAAAATTTTTATTTTCCAGTTAAACTTCATATTATGTACATACATACATATGTATATGTACGCTTGAAAATTTGTCAAACATGAAGTGTTTTGAGTACCCGCAGTATTTTTTTGGCTTTATTTTTTTAGTAAGAAAATTTTTATATTTGTATATTTATGTATAATTTTTTAAAAATATATTTATATTTTAAAGAATTTCAAATAATTTTTTGAAGTTTCTAAATACGTATGCTGTATTTGACAAAAAAACTTTATTATAAAATAAAATAATAACGTTCACCATAAAAATACATGAACACATGTTTTTACTTATAGCGACAGTGGTGACATCTAGTTGATAATCGAATTTTCATTTTTAATACGGTTTATCATCACTTTCAACTTCCAATTCTGAAATGTAAACAAAGCGAATTCGCGCAAAATTTTATATATAGCATTTTTGCATTAAATTTAACCATTTTTAAACTGGAACGGTGTTTTTACTGTGTTTTTACTGGAAATTAAACTTTTTTTATTTTAAAATAACCTTCATTATTTCTTTTTTCTTTTCATAATAAACTCTTTGTTTTCAAACCAACCTTTTTTTTTTCTAAATTAACCTATATGTAAAACTTATTCAAAAGATTGACTGAATGAATTTTTGTGGGAAGTCAATCGTTTTATTTCTGTAATCGCTGTTCAATTTATTTCTATTTTAGTAGGAATCAATCTTGTAAATGGTAAAAACGAGTGACATTTTTGTAGGAAGTGACCGTCAACCAGATTATCAACAGATATTTTGACAGCTTTCAAAAAAATAATTTAGCGATTTCTAAGCTTTTTAAAATTTTTTTTGAATTGTGAGTTCTCAAAACTTTTAAATATGTGAAACATTTTGTAAACACATTTTAAAAATTTATGACATTTGCTGTTAAAAATTTCTCATAAAATTATGAAAAATATCTGGTTTAGGTAGGATGTGTTGATGTGTATCTATTGCCTAGATATAAACGCAGCTGTATAAAAATTAACTCGATTCTCTATTGCTTGTACACTTGCTTAAGAATACAACATATGTTTTTGAGTGGAAAATTTATAATAACAAATGTATTACTTATACCTCTAGTTATGTCATGTATAATATATATTAATCAGTAATTAAAAGAATAATTTAGTGTGGAAAATAAATTGAACGCAGTGGTGGAGATAATTTTATATTAAATTTTTTTAAAATATTAGTAAAGTTAACTAAAATATTTTAATTTTATAATGTCATCTATAATTAGCGCGATACCACCGCCCCCACCACTTGCGCCACCTCTCAAAGCAGAATCTATGACTGCTCCTAATATAAATAAGTTTGATGGATGTTTATGGGCAAAAAAATTTCCAGACATTCAACAAGGATGTTACTTGTCGCAAATATGTGTTCTAACAAAACCTAAAGCATGTAAATTTAAAAATATTCAGTCTATAATTCAACAAGGTCCAACTTGTGGTTTGACCTGTTTGTCTATGTTAATAAACGAAGCTTTATCACCGAAGGAATTATTGGAGCTGGCGAAAAATTGGCAATACACTTTAAATGGAGAAATGTTTAGTGCGAAAAACTTATGTGATATTTTAAGAAAAGTGATAACTGAAAAAAATTATAATAATATTACGTGCCAATTACACGAAGGTCCATTAAATTGTGCCAAGGTCAAAAATTTCATCACAAATGATGCTTGCTTATTTGTACCGTATCCTTTTCAACTAAAAAATTATCTTTGTAATGATGTATAAGGTACTAGTCAGAACAAGCAGGTGTTATTTTTATAAAACAAGCAGATATTTGTTTCTCTATGGACTCTGAATCGCAACATATGAGAGATTTAAATGATATTTTTAGAATTGATTTTCCTTGATTTTCTTTTACAAAACAATAACAAATTATGTACCTACTCTACTACTATCTACCGAGTGAAATGCGTATTTTGAGTGTATTTTGGTTATACATATACATACGTTAATGACAATGTTCTCTTGTTGTCTATAGCATAGTAAATTTCAGGAAAGCTACAGTCTGAATTTGACGTTTGAAAAATTGAAAAGTTGAAAAAAGTGTTTGTTTCGTAAATTTTAATTAATGAATTTATAAATTTTTTTTGATATAGCTACACGAATAAGTTATGCACCAGTGTTTAAGGTCAAATAGAGTTTATTAGGTTGTAAAATTTGTATTTGAATTGAGTGATTCTAACCTTTTGAATTTAACCGGGAATACTCTTTTTTCACAAAAATAATTTTTTGTTGAACTTTTGAATTGATTGTAAGGCTAAAATAGTAAATCATAAAGGATGGCAACTGAAGAAGATCAAGTAAGTTTGAAATTACTCCGATCTTATTACGTTAAAATATCTTTTGCATTTTAGATCCAAGTTATGCCGGTTAAGGAACCTTTGGATTTAATTCGGCTTAGTCTTGACGAAAAAATTTATGTTAAAATGCGAAATGAACGAGAATTAAGGGGGAGATTGCACGTAAGATGAATGTTTCTTTTTAAATAACATAAATTTAAGGAAAGCATTTTTAAAAATTTGATATTGAGAATTTTGAGATTTATTAATTAGGAATGGTTGTAATCAATCTTTATTATGTTCCAATTTAATTACATATGTACATCTTTTTTATTCATAAATCAAAAAATAATTGGAACACCTTAATGAGCTAAATATAAGTGGCCAACATTTAGTTTTAGAAGTAAAATTAAAACTTTTCCAAAAATTAATGGATTTTCCAAAAATTAATTAATAAATCAAGCTAAAATTTATTTTAAAGTTTCAAAAAAGTCTTTTTTTAAAAGGAATATGTAACAAGTAAAAGTAAATGAAAAAAGCTTAATAAACTCGTGCATATATTTTAGGGCATTTTTTTGACTAATCTATTAGTACCCAATTAGTCGTCAATTTTGAATTATTTTTGTTTTACAATATATAAATAAAGGCAATCACAATACGTAGTAAAAAGTTCTGATAAATCCTCTTTTGCAAGTCGAACATACAAATACAATATACCTATTATGAATATGGAATAAATCTATTAAATTTTTTAGGCTTTTGATCAGCATTTAAATATGGTACTGGGCGATGCAGAGGAAACTGTAACAACGGTTGAAATTGATGAGGAAACTTATGAAGAAGTTTATAAGACTACAAAAAGGAACATTCCAATGTTGTTTGTTAGAGGGGATGGTGTTATTTTAGTATCTCCACCAATGCGAGTGGGTTAAACGTGAACCCAAAATAATACTATATGCATATTTTTGTAAATGCTTATTTAGTTTAATAAAGGAATTAAAATACTATTTACATTTTTAAATTATAAGTGGCATGGGCATAGAAATGTGTCGTACCAAGGCTTCACTGATAATAAGAGAAACATAAACGCATACAAGTATAGTAGAATACTAAAATTTGGCCGTCAAATATGCTGATTCTAATATTCAGATCAATTTTCTTGAAATACACACTATGTGATTATTTCATGTTATCTAAAAACACTTTTAATATTGGAAGACGACTCTTAGGACATTAATAATCATCCAGCAAAATACAATTCTTAGTAATTTAATTATTTTAAATATGCATAATGTTATCAAAAGTTAAATAAAGATTTGACCTTTTTCTCATTTTATAAGTATCCAAATGCGCTGTTCGGAAACTAAAAAAAAAAAGATATTTTAATTCCTATACTAGAAAAGGATATGTTATTCTAAAAATTTCTCATGTTTATGTTTTAGTGTTTTGTACCACAAATTAAGAACTTTTTAAGAGGAACTAATAGCTATTGTCAAAAATAATTAAATTAGCAAAAAACAAAAATTACCAAAATTGACAAATTTTTTTGAAATTTTACAAATAATAGCACATTCTTAGTGTATTAGTACATGCACTTTACGTATCTAGTATTTAATTTATATTGAACATGCATATTTAAAATCTAAAAATGAAGTCATTATAAAAAATATTCTAGCAATTAAATAGCAGATTTTTCTAATTCTATATTCTATGATCAAAAATAAAAAAATATAAATTGTTGGTTTGTAGCGAAGAATTGTTAGTTAAAAAAAATTTCAATTGTGGATTATTTTTACTTTTGGATTTACTTTTAGACATGTATACACATAAATTTTCCTTAACTTATCGAACTAAACAGATATGATCCAGACTATAATCACTCACCTTGTTTAAAATCAGGCCATAAAGCACATTGGGCATTAATAATAGGTTACTTAATCGACAATGATGATAATGTACGTACTACATACATACATATATATCCAATAATTACTTTTTCAAAAGCACTAAATGTTTCTTGTCTTAAATTTTTTACTTTTAGTTTTACGTATTAGCGCGCCATGGAAAAACGAAAAGTATTGCAGTTTGGTCTTTAAAATCTTTAAGTGCCAGTAATTCAAATTTAATTGAGTTTGCTCAGCCTAAAGGTTACCCTAATACGGATTTCCTTTTACCAGAAGGCGGAATTGGCGGACCTAATGGTTTGAGAAATCAATGCGTAATTGCTCAAAATATAGAGAACGAAACTGTAGCAGTAGTTTAATAACGAAACTTGTTTTTTAGTTATGAAATTCAAAATTGTAATTTTAAAAGTATGTTTTTATCCATTGAAAATGTTGTTTTTAAGTTTTAAAAAGAAACTACGAAAATGTTATTGTAAATTTTAACAACGAAAATATCTGTGTTAATTTAATTTAATTAGATAAATTAGAAGTTTTAATGTTTTATTTAAAAGAAGATAAATTGCAATAATTTTAATGAAATAAAAGGACAAAACAATATTTTTATAAAAAAAAATACATATTTTATTTTACAATTTGAACATATTATGTACATACATATACATATGTATAATTTATTGCAAATATGTGATGTTATATTATTTGCTTTCTTTTGCTACATTAACTATTAGGTTGTTCAAATAAAAATAAATTGTAAGAAAGAAATGAATTGAGGCTGTACATGTTACGTTATTCAAATTTCATATAACTTATTTTCCATCACAGTTTCTAGCTCTGTAATTTCAAATAACAAAAAAAGAAACAAAAAAGATTTGGTCTCAAATTATAAGCATTCCTTTAAATGAATGGTATGTATATAAGCAAATTTGGAAGGTGATGAGTTTTATTCATGCTGTCGAAAAATTAAAAACATTTTTATTACTGCTTTGATCAAACTACTTTTACTGAAGCCAAAAAAAAATTGAGCGAATTACTAAAAGAATTAACGCAAGATATTTGAAGGTGATATGCTTTTTATAACACAGCTACAATGATTTTGATACCTTCTGTAAAATCTTTAATATTGATTGAACGATGATTATCATGAACGAGATTTCAATTTTAAGAATAGCAGTTAATCGAGTGGCTTATTTGAATTTCAAAATAAAAATTATGAAAAAATATAATATTTTTTAGAATTTCTTTGAGGTCAGGATTGCCCTGAAACCTGTTTTTACATCAAAATTTTCCATCTTTCATTAAATAAAACAAAAACGACTTTTTAATCCTAATTAAGTATTATTGGAAGTATTGAGTTCTTGTACTATTATTTAAATTGCAAAACTGTTCTTATTTCCTTAATTATCGGAGTTTGCATATAGACTACACTTACAAATATGTTTGGCACTCCGTGTAGTATTTAAATGAGCTCCGATTTTGATAAGAAGTTCTGGATAATACTTCAAGATTATTTTAATGCTTTTGGTTGCAAATAAATTTGGAAAGCGAACGTTTTTTTTATTTTTATTCTTTTAATTGAATCGGTGAGTGGACAAATTGGTTAAACATTTGCATCTTAACACATTTTTTCATTAACAAATTGTAAAACTATTAATTTTTTTATTACTTAACTGGTATGTGCACTGTCAATCTTGTCTTCTATTAAGTTTCTAGCTATAAGAGTAATCGCAGTTGAAAATATATTAAATTTAATGATGTTCTATCTGAAAAGCTCGATTTTCGTCAAAATGTTAGTTAAATAAACTTTGTCCACTTACCTCTTCAATTATTTAATTTTTCAAAAATTTTAAGTTAGATGGATTAGTTAGGTTAGTCAAGTTGCTTTTATAGTCTGTTTGTATTCCGATTTCAGCAAATTTGCATTTTAAAGAATATTTTTGAATACGTTAATTTAATATTTCTTTTATTAATTTCATTTAATTACATAATTGGAATAACTATTTGCTTTTTTAAATTTATATATTTTTTATTGTATTGTAGTTAACATAAATCTTCATATTTTTTTTTTTATTTTTTTATAAATTTACCTAAAATTAAGGGTTTTTGAAAATTTTAAACAATCTCAATATAAAACTTCTTTTCTAATTAATGCTATTATTAGAGTTTGGATGTAAACGTTTTAAATTATTTGTTTTTTTATAGGTCCTAAATATCGCATTTCATCAAAGAATTTATTCTGTATAAACATATTATGTTTCTATGATAATTTTAATTTAAGATTTCATGAAAAGTATACATACATAATTATATTATTTTATTATATTAATTTTATTGAATTTATAATAATTGAGCCTAAATATTTCTTTTTTTTTTGTGTGGCGGAAATATGAGAAATTTCTCTTTCTTTTCTTCTTAATTTCGTTATAAATATTTTTATTTTTTAAAATGTTATGTTAGCTAAATATTGATTTATTAAATTGTAACTTTAAGATATGTGGTGGGTATGTTATAACAGTTGTTATTTTTTTTATATTATAAAAAATCTTATTGATATCTAATTAGATTTTATCAATAAAATCTTATTAATATTTAATAACGTTGATTTTGTAATTTTTTTTTTTTTGTTTTTAATTATTGCATTTTTTTTTTCCTCACATAATTATCATAATTTTCCTTTGTAAATATTTTGTATAATTTTTAAAGTAAAGCAAATCTGTATATTTCCCGTTTTAGTTGTACGACAAAATTAGTTTATTTTTATATTATAAAAAATAAAATTTATGTAAGTCGTAAGCATTTTAAAGTCACTTAATTTTTGATTTAATATAAAATAGCGATTTATTTCAAATTACAGAAATGTGATAATATAAGCAAACAAATAAGTAAAACCAAATCTTTGTTTTGTATATTAAAAATGATTTTTTAATAAAATATGCATAAATTTAATTTCTTTATTTTGAAAAATTTCAAAATTCTTTTTTAAAATGCGTAAATTTTAATGTTTTTAAAAATATAAAAAATTTTTTTGATATGTGTGTATTCAACATTGAATACGAATTAATTGTCGAACTTGTGATACTAGCGCAACAAATGTTTGAAAAAATATTATAGAATTCCTGAAAATATTATGAGAATTAATTATTTTACCATTTATTTTTAAATAATATCGAAAAGGGAACGAAAGAAATGTATAAATAAACTTAAATATAAAGGAAAAATTATTTACATACATAAAAAAAAAAAAAAACAAATTAAATTTTATAAAAATAATTTCATTTATTTCAATCAAAATTTAAATTTTATATTGTTTTTTTTTTTCAATTATTTATTTTGAAAAATACAACTAATTACAATAATAAATTAATATTAAATATAATTTAAAATATATGGGACTAGATAAAACTAATAACTATAATTGTAATAATAAAAAAAAAAGAAATGAATTGAAAATAATATTACACTTTAAAGCATTTTATTTTTTTTTATTTTTAAATAAGAATAATAATTATAAAAAAGAATGATATGATTATTTGATTAAGGTCAATAAACGTTTTAAGAATATTTTTTTTTCAAAATTAAAATAAATGTTTTAATGTTTTTAAAAACTAGAAATAAGCTATTATAAATAAATTATGCTTTTTTTTATCTTTCGTACCTATTTTTATTATTAATTTATAAGAAACTGCAACGAAGAATAGAAATTCGAGTTTAATAATGATTCATTCATAAATAGTTTAAGACCGACAAATTGAATTTAAAAATAATATTTTTTTTATTTTTCAAATTCTTGATCCTCGACTATATAATTTACTAGAATTGGAATAAATTTGTTGTTTAAAATTAAAGAAAAACAAAATTGAAATAATTTAGATAGAATTTCTTTATTTTCTGATCTTTTACTTGTTTCGACAGCATTTTAAATAGAAGATTGAAAAGCAAATTACAAACAAAACCGGGAAAAAAAACCAATAATTTCAAAATAACAAATATGTTTTAAATAAAGAAGATCTACGTTGGTAAATCAATATTTAAAAGGTAAAAACGATATTACAGAATGATCATATTTAATTTTTAAGCTTTTTTTTTCTATTTTTAATATTTATTTTGTTAGAAATATGATATAAAATTTTACAACATATGCATTCAATTGTATGTTTTTATGTAAATATGTTGGGAATATGCTACTACTTAATAAAATCTGGAGTTTTAACTTAATCTTCAAATAAATATAAGTATATTATAAATGTATATTATATTTAACCAATTTATAATAATAATTCTTAAGATACTGGACATTAAAAGAATTTATATATGTATTAAAAGAAAAACAAGAGCAACTGTATAATTGAGCAATCCTTCATCCGTCAATACAAATTTCATATGGTTTTAAAAACTTAATAAATTTGCTTTTAAAATGTCAATGCATTCTTACAATGTTTAATAAAACTCTAATGTAAGAAAAAAAAACTAAAAAATATAATTTTTTAAAATTTACTTTACAATAGTAGTATTGTTGAAGTTCACCATTTCATGCATTACAGTAAATAAATCATAAACAATATTATTTTTGAAAACAATATTTTAAGCATTTTTTTTTTTTGATTTGATTATTTTTAATAATTCAAATACTTTATTTTTATGTTCTTAAATTATTTAGTTTAAAAATATGTAATATCATTATTCTTTCAAATACTAGTATCTCAAAGAATTATTTTTATTTATATTTTGCTTATATATTTAAATATAAATTCATATAGTATAGCTATATACAGTAAGATCTGATTTTTTATGTTCATTAACTAATTAAATTAATTTAAAAGTTTTTAGGCTCTTTTTAAATTTTTTTTAAACATTTATTTGACAATTTACTATACAAAGATAACACTTTGCTAATGAATTTTCTTTTAATATAATTTGGTACATTGTACTCTATTATAATAAGGTTTAAAACACTAAGAATATTATTACAGCATTTTACAGAATATTGAAATTTAATTTAAAAAATGGTTATTTAACAAAAGATTCAATTTATTTATGAAAATAATACCAATTTCAAAAAAATATTTAAATAATTGAGTTTTGATTAATTTGAATAATTTATTAATTTTGTATTGATTTAATAAAAAAATAATTTTATTTTTTCTTTTGTATTAAACAAATGCTATTAAAAATTATATTGAAATTTTTTATTGAATTGTTTAATGCTTGTGAAATTGGTATATATTTATGTGTTCTGTATGTGCTTTTTAGACTGTTTCTTTAATTTTAATTAAGGTGCTTAAAAATAATACTTTTAATAGAACGTAAAGAAAAAAAAATAGAAGTTAATATAATTAAATTAAATATTATAAAATATAAGAATATTTTATCTATTATTAGAATTTATAACAATTGCTATAAATATACTTTATTTTATTTCGCTTTTAACAAAATAACTCACAACATTATTGTGTGTGTATATTGCATTTTATTCAAATTAACTTTTGTTTTTTTTATTTAAATAAAATTATAAAATTATCAATTTAGTAGTATTTAAAAAAAAATAATAACATTTTAAGAGATATCCATAAGTTTGAATTGTTTTTTTTTTGTTTTTAAATTTTATATGATAACTAGTATGCAATTATTAATTTGGTTCAAACTAAAATTATTATGTAAAATGAGTTCTACAATTAATATTTCTTGTAACCTTACTATCTATTATTTTTATTTTTGTGTGTAAATTACATATTATATTTCTATATATAATATTCCAAACATTTTGTTTTTCTCTTTATAAATTCTCTTTTATGTTATTATTTTATTATTATAAAATTTACATAATATTAAATATAACATGTACATATTCGTATATATATATACATTTATTTATAATTATATTATGTATGTTATTTTATACATTTGCTTTTCAATTTTAAATTTTACATGTTAATTATTATTTTTCTACTATAATTAATAGTTTTAATTGCTGTGATATTTATTAAATACAATTATTGTAGTTTATTATTATTTATTATGTTTTTTTTTTTATTATACAAACAATATATATAAAATGCAATATTTTGCAAAATTTTATTGAAAAATTTTGCTTTAATAAATGAGAAAATTTTAATTTATTAGTTGATGTTCTGTTTTTTTTTTTATATTTTTGAAATATGAAAATTTTAATTCATCTTTTTAAAAAAAAAAATTTATGTTGACTAGGTTAAATCAGACAACTGGATTGGTGCACCGATAAGGGCTACAGGAAAGTTTTTAACATGAGTTTGCCACTGTGATGATAACTGGAAAAATTTAACACCAGTCCATTCGGTTCCGTCAATATAAACTAAAATAAAATCCAATATTTTAAAATTACAATTTTTTTAATATATACATACATATGTTAAAGATTATTTTTGTTAACCAATTGTAATGTTTTCACAATTTATTAATATTTGAAAAATTTACAATTCAAACAAAGTTCGTACATAACATTACAAAAAATTGGAAAAATTTTTTAAAAATGTTTACCTCTTAGTGGTATTGGATGTGATTGTTTCGGTGAGCAAATTAAACGTGAGACTCCTTCAACACATTGTTCTTTTTCCTGATCACGATCTTTTTCTTTCTTTTTTCCCAGTCTCATGACTAAAAGTTTAAAAGATAAAAGAAAATTTTTAATTAAAATCTATACTTAATTTTTTATACGCATAGAACTTTACTTTTTTGTTTCTTCTCCTTTGTAGCAAATGTAACAGTTAAACCATTTGATATTTCACCAATTTGAGGATTTGTTGGTAATCTCCATACTTGTAAATTACGAAAACTACTTTTTATACTATTTTTGCCTTGATCACCACCTTTTGACATATTTTTATCCTTAATATCACCCGGTTTTATAATTGGCCAATAATCAATTTGCAATTCAACTGGTTCCTGACCACTCGTTGATTGCATTTGTTGTATTGATTGTTGCAATTGTTGCAGTTCTTTATCTTTGTGTGATGCTGGTGTCATTGGCATTGGTGGAGAGTTTCGGCCACTAAGCGGCGGTGAACTTGAAATAACTGTATTGTTGCTAGCTGGACCACTATTAATAACCATATTTCCACCAGTTATTGTTTGCCCACTGTTTATTAACGATGACGGTTGTTGACTATTTGATAATAATGAATTTGCTTCATCTAAATCCAATGATAAATTCGGTCCCTCTGGATTGCCTATTCGAACATCCTATAAAAAAGTTTTTACTTTTAGAAAACTGGCAATTTTAAATTTACTAAATAACTTACGCTAACAAATGGTACAAATATTTGACATGAATCTTCATCTTTATAATTGACCATTGCTTCAGCAATTGGAATTTGTGTGCATGGACCAGCTGTATGTAAATATCGTTGTATACGATTTGTTAGTTCTAAAATATCGGGTTTGACTAGATTAGATTCAATGTTTGCGGCACGTTCACATAGTTGATGCCAATTTTCTGTACCAAACATTTGTTGATAGGATTGATCAATTGAGCTTAAATGACGTGATATAGAACTAGAAACTATAAAGAGAAACAATAAAATTTAGAATTATTAATCTTGATATGCATATACGCAAAAATTAAAACTTTAAAAGTGATATAAATCTACAAAGCATTAAAAAATGTCAAGTAAAATTTTGTCAGGCTTGAATGAGTCTAAAAATTAAATTAATATAAAAAAAATTTGTCAGAATAAATGTAAACGAATTAGACAGCGGAAGCAACTACTCGTTTTAATACGATTTTGCTTTGCGGGGATTTAATGAGAGCAAAGTGTGAAAAACTCATTTTTAAGGAGGGGCAACAAAAATACTTTTACCATTACTAGAACACACTATCGCACTAGAGCTGTAAGATTTTACCATACCAACTCCAGGAGCTTTTTTAATGTGGTAAGTTTTACCGATGTTTCTGACTATAGGCAACAAGGTCAGATTTAATTACTATCAAATTATAAAATATAATATTTTCAATAACTTACCGATAGGAACAATATAAAATCGTAAATGATGAACCCAATCTGGTGGGCGAACACCTAATAATTCAACATAATGCCTTAATGCAGCACCTTGTAACCAATCACCACCCAATAATAATATTTTAATAGTTGTTGGTGGTTTTGCATTTGAATTGCAACTAAAATGGCATTAAATTATTTTATAGTCAACAATATTTTAAAATAATATTTTGTTAAAAACAAAAAAAAAGAAAATTTCCTTACTATTTTTGAATTTTTGTCATTAGCGCCTGTAATACAGCTTTTACTTCGGCTGTATTCTGTGGTATAAATGCCGGACGAAATGTTTGAGTAAAAATTGGATTTAATCGTGCAGCTAAATGACTACCACATGCTTCCGGTGGGCTTATTATTGTCACAACGTCCGGTAATAATGCTTCATCAACTGAAAATACTTTACTCAATTGATCTAATAATAATTTTCGGGGTTCAACATTCGTTGGAGACAAACATGTCTCTAATACTGATTTTGGTTCAGCTGAAAGACTAAGAGATTGTTTCTTTTTACTACCACTACTAGGTGTACTACTTGAGGTACGAAACAATCGACTTCGTTTTTCATTTGTTACAGGTGTTTGTTGTTGTTGCATTTGTAACATTTGTTGATGCTGTTGTTGTTGATGATGATGTAATTCTTTATCACGTGGTGGACTTCCAGTATTTTGTGGATCTGAATTTTGTCCTTCTGGATCTGTATTACCAGCATATCCTTCATTACCAGAACTATCATTACGATCTAAAATATAAAATAAGATTTTTGGTTTTATGATTTTTTTTCTTTTTTGTTTTTAATTTTTTGTTTGGGTGCTGACAAATTTATTTTATTTTTTTCATATATAAACTTTTAACAATGGGTATAAAAAAAAAAATAAAATCTAAGAATGTTAGAATAAAGAATTTCAACAGTCGGGTGGTTTTTCTATCTAATAGGTCGTACACATAAGGTGTTAAGGATGGGTGCGTAAAAAGACAATATTATCGATAATATTTGGAGAAAGAGAAGATATTATTTAATTACATATAAAACAAGGGAGTAAAATAGATGAAAATAAAAAATAAATTAAAAAAAAAAGTTGTTACCACAATTATTATTAAATGCATTGGAAAATCTTATTGGAATGGTTTTTTTTTGCTGTTACGTTTAAAAGAAAAATTAAAATAACATTTAAGATAGAATTTTCCACAATAATTAAAAAAAAAATTAAAATTTCCATTAATTTTTTATATAATACTGCTCTGTACCTCACCCAGATGGTTTTTTATTAAGCCCAATATTATTTTATCATGGGCTTCATTTACATAATTTTAATTATAACTATTTAGGTATTTCTTTTAATTTTCTTCATTGGAGCATTGTTTAAACATACTTATAGAAATAATACAAAAATTTTTAAAATATCGTAATTAAATTAAAAATTTCTTTATTCAAATCGCAATTTTTCAACTTTGAGAATTCAACTAAGAGGAAATTTAAATAAATCAAAAACATAATTTTGAGTCTTAAGCCCCATTAATTCAAAACTATCTTTGACATTTTCAAAAAGTTAGAAATTGAATAACCGAAAAATGAAAATCTACTTTTACTTTAAAAATTATCAAAATTAAAATATTAATCAAATTTAAGTAGAGGGTGTTAAATTTTAAATTTATTGTGTGTTTATGTATACTTATATGGGGAAAAAACTTAATAAATAAATAAATATATATAAAAGTGTATAAAAATACATATACACATTCATTTATAACATTCACAACAAAGATACATTAATAAAACAAACTAAAGAAAAAAAAACAAACAAAAAAATTATACACAAAACAACCAAAACAAAAGAAAATTAAAAAAAAAGAAAAATTAAAAAAATCAAACAGACCTGGAGTTGTAGCCGAATTATTTTTCTTATCGACTGTAGTATTATCGCTTTTATCAGAAGCTCTTCTGTCAATGTTGCCTGAAAAAGAATATTATCAAGCCATGCACAGACTCAAAATCAAAAATTCAAAAAACCAAAATTAAACAAAAAAAAAAATTTTTTTTAAAAAACTCAAAAATTTTACAATTTTTTTTTTCTGTGTGTTTTAATGTATTTTTAATATTTTTTTTTTTATTTAATTTTTTAATAAAATTATTTATTGTTTTACAGTTAATTATGTAATTAATTTGTTGATGATCGACTGTACTATTTTTAACACGTTTATCTGCCCAAAATGGAATTAAATTAAATTTTAATTCCGTTGGTGTTTGCAATTCACCTTTCTAATAATTTCAGGATTTTTTTTAAATCAGAACTTATTATTAGTAAAATATAAAAATGAAACTTATGACAACTGTAATGTCAAAATTGAGTTTTAGACTTCAGATCAGTGATTCCCGAAGTGGTCTATATAGACCCCCCGGGGTCCATGAAGACCTGCTAGGGGTCTACAAAAAATTTGAATTTAATTAAATAAGTATTAAGGGGGTCTATCAAAAATTTCAAAAACACGACAAAAGGTCTACGAGGGAAAAAGTTTTGGGAACCTCTGCTTTAGATGAAATGTTCAAAATTTTTCTCATAACATTTTTTTCTACTTGTAACTAAAAAAAGATCAAAACGTTAATAGTTTGGGTGTGAAGAACAATATTTTAAATATTTTAATTTTTTTAATAATTCATATATTTTTTTTTTCAAATATAAAAATAAATTTTGCAGGTGCAAAGCCTGAATGCGTGTGTAAACACATACAAAAAAAAACGCATTAAAATGAAAAAATAATGATGCGTTTTCCTATTTTGCTTAATAAACTTGAAGAAACTTGAAGTAAGAAAGAAAATAAACTTGTAGGAAAAAATTGCCACAATTTTCTTGAATTTTGTAAGTTACATTTTTGGAATAGGATGAAAAGTTTAAATACAATAAGATTGTAGGTTATAAACCTATTAAAATGTAAGGCTCTTGAAAAGCAATTTGGTTAAATTCTATTTTACACATTCATTAGTAATACTTTGACACTGAAATTACAATAATTTTATTAAATAAATTCAATCGGCATCGGTACTAATTTTCAATTTTACGGCACAACAATATTGATCAGCATATCAGAGGCTATAATTTTAAAACCAAAAATTGGACATTATTTTCTGGTTCATTTTTATCATTTATGCTCAATAGCAAAATGATGAACCAATATATTTGTGTAAATAACCAAATTCTTAAATTAAAACTAAATTGTGTACCACGATTGTTACAGAGGAAAATTTGATCTAAAATGTGAAACAAATTGCTAATTAAGCAATGAAGAATAAAAATTTTATAAATATATGATTTTGATTTTAGCATTTTATATATTAATTAGGGTTAGTATAAGATTGACAAAAACTTAAAAAAGTGATTAATTTGTCGTTAAATCAAAAAACTTAAAACAAATAAAAAATAAAAAAAATCTTTCAAATAAAAAAAAATTCCTTTTTGGTATAAAAATCATTTTATTCCAATTCTAAAAATTTTTAGAATTTGAGCTTTTCAGTTTTCCTCCCAAAAAATAACTTAAAAAAATAATCTTATTTAATATTATAAAATTCTTACCAGTTATATTAGCTGTAACATTATCATGTAACATAGTCCTTGAATTTGTAAAGAATGGCCTTATTGATGGCTTTGGTGTTGATCCAATTGATAAACTATCTAAATCTGGACCGGAATCATCACCTTCACCGCATGATAGCGATTCTAATTCTTGAAATAATGCATCCAATTCACGTTCCCCACGTAATGTTGCTGTGCCACGATTAACTCCACCATCTAATTCTTCGGTAGCTTTAAAACGTTTTAATAATGCAACAATTTTTTGTTTGAAATTACGTTGCTGCAGAGAAATTGTCTAATGTTAGAGATGATTTTTTTTGATTTTTTTTTTTTGATTTAGGATTTTGTTTTTATATTAGATTGGTGATGTGCCAGATGGTAAAGTAGTAGTAGTGGTGGTTGTGGTAATTTTTTTTTTTTTTTTAAATGATGATTATTAATATTAGAAACAGTTGCGAAAGATATAAGAAAAAAAAAACAAGAAGAAAAAAAATATTTAATAAAAAAAGGCATTAAAAATTATACAAATTATGTACATAAAATTTTATTTAATCTAAATATAAATATGTTTGTATATAAAAAATGTGATTTTAATGAAGATTATGACAATTTTTTATTTTACGAAAGAAAGCAAAAATAGAATTTTATTATTAATAAATTATTTAAAAACGATTTGAATAAAAAAATATATATTTATACTAATATGTGTATATAGATGTATATATACATGTAATATATAAATAAAACTTAATTATCAGTAATATTAAAGAATTGTGGTGAGTAGAAGATTTGCGATTAAATTGAGTGAAAGAGTGTAAAAAAGTATATTTTTTGTCATCTGTCAAAGTCAAGAAATCTCTTTTCTTTTCAATACAAATTTAATTGTGAAAATTGTTCTGACTTTAACTTATAACTCTCACTAATTAAGCAGTCAACTATTATGACACTTCAAAGGTACAACATGTACAAATAAAAAAATTTATTTATTCAGCTATTTTATATTTAAGGGGAAAACTGGATTTCTCAACATTGATTTTTTTTTTAATTTAATTGCAATCATAAAACTCATTGAGTTTTTTGTTTTCTTCTTGAAGAATGTGAGTGTCAATTTGAGTATTAAACATCTATCTGTAGAATCTAATTTCCGAGTGACAAAAAATTTCTCGCAAACCATTTTTCGTTTATTTTCCATATTGCATTAACAAATTTAGTCATTACTCAATCAATTTAATTTTAGAAGTGACAAATTCAATTGATATTTGGGAGAAAAAATGTGAAAATGCATTTGAAGAAATCAGTAATCTTATATATTAAAAGTAAATACATATATCCAATTAAGAAAGCATGAATTTTGAATTAAAAATGAATAAAAAGCGAGACTGAAAAGCGGTTAGACTATTAATATTGCAATTCAAATTTCATTTATTTAAAATTCATTTTTGCGATAGTGCTGAATTTATGCACAAAATTCTGGCGCAAGGTTGGTTATGTATTTTTCCTGAAAGCATAACAAAATGCTCTCGAGCAGTTGCGTCCACATTAATATTTTTTTTTAATAAATATTTAAAAATCAGAACTAAAATTGAAAATTGATTATAGCTATTACACAAAAAGCCAAGATAAAATTATAAAATAATAAAATTTTCTATAATAACTTTCTTTTATAAAATATTTAATATAGTGACGTTATTTAATTCTACAATGAACTTAAACTAAAATTTTTGTACTTATAAAAAAAATAAAAAAATAAATTAAAACTTACTCGACTTATTTTAGCTCTTGATAAACCTTTATCTTTCATTTCGAATTCACTATCACTATCACCTTGATTTGTGCCTAAATTACCGACACCATCAACATCACCATCACCTTCTGGATTATTACTAGATCGTTGAAGTTTACGATATTTTCGCATTTCATGTTTTGTTGAATAATCACGTTTATTATTAGTACCAACAACACCACCAACACCGCCTTCATAACTAGATAAACCAACATCAATGGCATCATCATTATCTTCACCAGAACTGAATTCTCCTTCCTCTTCATCATCTGAGTATTCGTTAACACGATCTAAAAATATAAGAAAAAAAATGTTTAGCATTAAATTTAGTTTTTATTATAAAAAAAAATTTAATTTTTTTTCATATTTTTTATCATAAGTATAGTTTAAAATTTCTCTATTAAGGTAATAAAAGAAGAAATTAAAAAGAGGTTCAAGGATATTTTCGGTTATCTTGTTTTGGTAAAAGATTATTGCGGTGATTAAAAGTTTAATAGTTTGTCTAATGTTTATAATATACTTAAGGGGGTGGGGGTGGATTTGTAAATAGTACATACATATATGTGTATCGAATTTGGTTGGTTGATTTCGGAAATATAAAAAGGTACCCTAAATAGTATTACTAGATAGGAGCGAGTCATACCGTAAATTATGTTATTACAAATCGTATATAACGTAAGTATAATTATGCGGTATATTTATACAACATCTTTTCGAGAATCAAGGGTGCCTTTAGGTTTAAACTTAAAGTAATAAATTTTGTTCAAGTTCATTTTTGCAAACAAATATTGGAGTGAATTAAAATTAAAATTTTTTTAAAAACCATCCCCAACGGATGATTTTAAAAAAAAAAAAATTTAACATCTTAATGTTTTAAGAAAGTTTCCTATAAATTAATACCAAAAAATTTTATTTCGGTTTCTTTATTAGGCACTATGTAATTATTTTTAATAACTGATTAACACATCATAGCTTTCAAACAATCACAAATAAATTGTTATTCTTTACACGCGTCTGCTATTTTAATAATATTAGATGCGTTAAGAATTAATTTAAAAATTTTAATAATTTCCTATGAATTAATTAACTGTGTAAATTGTTTTACGTGTCGAAATTTATTTATAACAATTGTACATAAAGTAAGTTAATATAAACGGGCTATTTGAAATTCGCCATTCAAGTGTTATCGATAGCAAAAATTGAATTAGCACTGTTGAATAAAGTAAAGGTTATTAACTTTTGCTTTGTTCCGCAATTGTATTTTAATAATTAATAGGCGAAAAGTTGACTGCAATGAATTCAAGAAGTTTATTATTGAATTTTGTAAAATTAAAATTAAAATTGGAAATGAGATTGAAAAATAAAGTTTTCAAAAATATTTGAAAATAAACGAAAACAAACAAAATATTTGTGTTAATTAAGCACATGGATACTAAATGTAGGCATTCTTGAAATTAGTTATAATGTAGGAATTAGGTTTTTCAAATGCATTAAAGGGTTTTATATTTTGGCTGAATTTATTATTTCATGTTTAAGCTTGTATGAATTTAAAAAGAGCATTACTTTATATTATAGGGCATGCTGCAAAAATCACTCAAGTGCAATTTTTCAATTTAAGTCGAGTTATTAATTTAAAGAGAACGCAAAAAATATTTTCTTTCTTTTATTTGCAAAATCTTCTAAGTCACTCTCTGACATTCTCTCGTTGAAAATCTCTGCCAATGACTGAATTTTCCCTTGTTTACTTAAAATCCTAAGTTTCAAAAATGCTTTATTGCAAGTTTAACAAGAAAAACGCTTTTAACCGTTAATATATATGAACTGTTTGGAGCAAAACAGACGTCATTCCTCAAATTAAAATTAAAATATATTTAAAAGAAAAATTAAATAGAAATTAGATGTACCAAATTTAGTAAGAGGGTGACCAGATTAGCAGATCTCCTAATTTTTTGCTTCTATAACACATTAGCCAGTAGATGAACAATTTACTTGGGAGGATATGTGATACATTTTGAAAATCTATTACTTTTTGAAAGGTAAAAGTCTAATAAATGTTTTAAAGACTACGGGATGTCACAAATAAATTTTTATGGCTGCATTGACCTGTTCTAAAATCAATCGTTTCCAACGTGAAACGTATACACAAATATATAAATTTTATTTTATTTGTTTGTGTACTAAGAGGTTTTCTTGCTATTCGTAAATATAATAATAATTAAATTTTAAATTTTAAATATTTAATTTAAATTAATGTATATATTTGATAATTGTTAAAGAACATATCTTAGTTATAATTAAATTAAAAATTAGGCTGTTTAAAAATTCATTGAAAAAAAATTCGCAATTTTCGATTAAATCTAATAAAAACGAGAAAAAATAGAGTTGACCGTGTCAAATCTGTGATACCCGAACGAGCTTGCTATCCTATGTGCGAATAAATATGTCATAGCTTACTATGGGACGGACTATAACTTTAAGTTACCATATTAATTTATGCAAAATTTCAGTACTGTTTTCAATATTTTTTAAAAAATGGCCAAATTTTTAAAAAAATGGCTACTGAAGTTGTATGGCAGCAACCAGAAAGAGCCAAGCAATTTCAACAAATTTTATCAAGCACATTGGCCCAACTAATTTATTCGCTTGTGTGAAATTTCAATATCACAGCTTAGTTTCTGAGATATAATCAAATAAATTTTGAAGTTGTATAGCAGCTACCCAAACCAGTACCCGAATCATGTCCAATTTAAATAGAGTTTTGGCATTTATTATAATAAATCATTTGGGAAAATTTGGTGAACTTAGCTCAATCAGTTTTTAAGTTATCGTTGGAACGGATAAAACTAAATCAACCCAGAATTCAACACTGATCAAAAACATACACTTGAGTCTATATCTAAGACCGTTATTTCTTAGCGTTACAAACGGTAAGGCAAATTTAGTATACCCTTCGAACATACGTTCTTACGGGTATAAAAATGGTAGATTCGTAGATTCGTAGATTCTAAGGGAACCGAGTGGGACAGGAGCATCCCCCCAAGCCACCGCAGCCATTTTTGACTTATTGTAGCCACCCCACTCTCCCGTCTATAATATCCCCGTCCCAATCACAAAGCCGGCGATATCCCTAAGGGAGTTGGACAATAGTTCCCGAACACTTAGGGACCCATGTCCAAGACAATTGCGGCGCCGAACAGCCAGTGCCGGACAGTCGCAGAGAATGTGCACGGCGGTCTCATCGCCACCCCCACAAAATCTGCACAGGGGGGAGCCCGACTTCCCCAGCCTGTGCAGGTGGTATTTCACCGGGCAGTGCCCCGTGAAGAAATTCGCAATAGTGCGAACCCGGCTCCTGCTCATCCCCAGCAACTCCGCAGCGAATCCGCCGGAGCACGCCGGAACAAACACCTTCGCATGACGGCACCCCTTCGTGTCCCGCCAGTGACGACTGCATTCCGCCGCGAGTAGGCAGGCAAGTATAAAAATGGTTCATGTGATTGCGAAAATTTCAATTCACTTTACTTTTTACAAATAATTTCTAATAATTTTTGATTAAAAATTAAAAAAATTCTTGGAATTATAACCAATTTCAAAAAGATTGTGTTTGAATTGAGGAAATATAAAAATCTCTTTGATTATAACAAAATTGTTGATAAAATTAAATTTATAATTTTTAAAAATGATATTTTGTTTTCTGTTCTCTCTCTTGCTAAATTAAATCTTAATGTACCCACTTAATATGTATGAACAGTGAATAAATTTACATAGAACTAAACATAATGCGAATAACTTTAATAAAAATATCAATATTCAAAATAATATTCATGTATTAAAATAAAAATAGGAAAAAATCTAATTCTGGAACAATAATAGAAAATTCAACAATACAATAAAAAACCGAAACAAAATTTCCTTATGGGTTTTCATTTAAGGATACAAAAACAAATATCAACAAATTTTCGTGACTAGCGACTTTCTCTATTTCTCTAAACATGATTGCTGTACACACCAATTCTCTCTCTACGTAATTTTCATATAAGGCTAAAAATTTCTGTATTGTGAATCGTGACTTTTATTACAATTTTTTAATAACACAGTAGTAATTGAATTTTTTTTTCTCTTTTCCTTTCAAAATTTTGACACCTTATTTTAGTTACGTTTACATTTTATTCATAAATATTTGTAAAAATATGATTTTTGCAGATAGAAATAATTTATTTGCATGCAAATTTTATTAATTTTTGACCGCTTTTTTTAAAATTTCATATTTCTTTACATTCATTGATTAGAAAATTTTAATGTAGTGTAATTTTCATAAAACCTAATATAAATATAATTTGACGTAATGAATTGACAGGGAGAATGAAATCACAATCTTGTAATCCTATTAATTTTAGCGTATCAAAAGTTATAATTAATTGTTCACAATTTTTTATTAATAAAATTCAAAATATTCTTAAGGTTACGGCACTATGAGCAGTTAAAAGACTGAAACTCGTTAACTTTAATTTTTGTTTCCGAATCGCAGTATTCTATGATAATTGATGGACTATTGTAAGCTCATAAAAGCTTTTTCATGTAATTTGAAGTAATTTGAACTTCTTCTAATTCTAAGTTTTTAATTTCAATATTATTATGTAATTATATAACTAATTAGTTTAAAAATAAATCATTTTCCAATTCTACATTCCAAGAAATGAATCGAATAATTTGTTTCAATATATTTTTATTATTCCGATTTTAATTAATATTCATGAGTTTTTTTTGTCGAAAGAAATAGCCACGCAGAATCGCGAAAACTGTACAAGAAAATTGTATGATAAAAACAACTTCATTGACTCCACATTATTGGGCTAACAATTAATATTTATAACTTCAGAATTAAACTAATTAGAAATGTTGTTTAATTTTGACTTTTTCAACAAGCAATATCAATTATAAAATTTTAATTTTTTTTAAAAATAACATTCGTTCAATAAAATTTCAGTTTTCTCTTTAAACGGATGTAGAAGTTCTGTAAATAGAAGCACGAACTACCAAACGGGCAGATTGCAAGTAACAAATAAATTTTTTTCAATTTAGCCTAAAATGTGTAAATTTTAAAATATTTTATATTTTTTCTTATATTTAATAAGCGAAATAATTAATCCGAATGGTTTCCGAAAGTGTAAAATGTTAAACAAACCTGTCTATCCTTGATTATCAATTAATTAATAGTTGTAATTAAAAAACTTTTATAAGTTTTTGTATATTAATATTTAATGAGTCGAACTTTTTTAAAATAAAATAT